CGTATGTCGAAGCGTATCCGACGACGCGTTTTGGTAGATGTCGCTGTGGCCTTAGTGTTGGCCATGAGGGTCTTGTCACGGATGACGCAACTGCGGTCGGAACGGCGTGATAGTCGAAAGTTGGCAGGGGAACGTGCTCCGGCGTGGGGTGAGCCACGGGACGAACCATGACTCGGGGAACGTCTGCCACGTCCTTTGTCACTACCATATGATCTATCACGGCCGCGTGGACTGCCGCGCCCGCCGCCGCGATTGTCTCGCCCTCGGGAGGTAGATCTCGAAGATCTGTCGTATCGACTTCTTGATTGACTGCGAGAGTCTGGGGACCTCCTGGATGTTGAACGAGATCGGTCGCATTGGCGTCGGTTGTCACGTCCATGGCGCGAGTCGCTTGCGTAGCGAAACCCCCCGCGTTGTGAAGAACGTTGGCTTCCTGATCCGCGGGATGGTGATCGGCCACGGCTATCCTGGCTGGAGGTCCGTGGTCGACTCGGGCTTCGCTCAGGAGTCTTTGCACCAGGTGTAAGATGAGCGTATTTGCATTTGCCGCCTTTTGTGCACTTGTTCTGTGCGAAATCTTTACACTGTGCGACGTGTGGAAAGTTACACTTATCGCCTCTGGTACATGTGTTGCGCTTGGCGAAATCGAAGCAGAATGGTTTCGACGCTGGCTTCTTGTGATTCGAAGGAGTGGACATACTACGGCGGGGGTTGCCACCAGCCGTTGATGTTCTGGAGGATTTGTTGTTCTTCCAATCCCTGGAATATGTATGCAAGGCCTTGCACCGTTCACCATTGCGACAATTCCCTTTCTTCCAGGCAGCGCACACGTTGACTTGAGATCGAGTCTCATGTTCGTACCGTAACTTGTTTTGATTCTTCTCCAATTGTTTAAGCTCCAGTATGTCTAGGACACGCTGGCGAAGCCAACCATAGGTACGATTCGGGTCGCTCATCTTCATGCGCTGGTACTCGTACATGTCTTGTTTCATCCATACATGTCTCCGAATCTGCGTACGAAACAGCGATTCCAAGATCTTTGGATCGGGTGCTTCCCGGCACTCCAAGAGTAAAGCGTCCCAGTCAGTAATAAAACGTTGCAAATCGTCATCTCTCATCCTCAGTTCTTTAAGGCGCTCGAAATCGCGCAGGTCGTCGTCAACTTCTGTCACTTTGTAGGACTGTAGGATGTGCCAGTAAATCTGGCGCCCTTTGAGCATGCGTCCTGCTTTGTGCTCTCTAGTTTCGATGAGCCTGATTTGGTAGCGTAAGTCCGAGGATAAGATGTCGCTCAGAGCGGTAGCGAGTTTGCAATCGATGCTCTCAAAGTCTCCACTGTCTTGTAAGTCCTCGAATGTACATTCGGGCTGTTCAGCCACGCATAGGAAGGCGTATGCTTTGGATGGTCGCCCTGAGGCGGCCCCGAAGTTCTTCCGCACTTTTTGCTGCCACTCGAGCAGCTGCGTGATCTTAGGCAAGACAGGGACTCGGACGGTGCCTGACTCCTTGATAGGAGTTGTAGTATGGACCGAAACCGCAGACAATGGTTGTGAGGGCATCGGTGCACCGTCAGTAGTTGGTTCTGTGCGCACAGGAGACACATGGCGTGTCTGTGCAGAAGCTGCCGCGGAGGCTGCTCCTGGTGACGTACGTCGTTGTTGTCCTGCAGAAGCTTGTGGTGCTTCGGCGGACGCTGCCGTCGGCCTGTGCAGGTCGGCTGCAGGTCGAAGGTGGAGGTTGGTGTCGTTGGTGCGGTCGATCAGCTGATTCGTCCAGCTCGTCATATCTTCGTGTATTTGACCCACCTTTTGGCGTGTATACTCATCAGTATCCCGAGAACGTTGTGAATACCGATCAAGTCGTTGCTCGCATGCTCGGAGACGGGCGCTCTGCGCCTCCAACTCGCTTTCCAGACGTGCGAGGTGACTCTCTACACGTACCTTCTCAGTATCTCTTTCACGAATGACCTGGGAGAGCTCCAACTGCGCGTGGCCCGCCGCCTGCTGAACCTCCTGCAACCTGTCAGCGAGGCGGGCGAAATCGTAAACCGTGGGAGGAGAATCCAGCTGATCAGTCTGGGCTCGTCCGACACGCAACTCTGCCAGGGCGTCCTGCACACCAGGCAAACGCTGCTCGATGTCAGAGATCCGCTTAGCGAGTGGCTGCACGACAGCGTTGGTCGCATCAAGCCTTTGAGTGATGACTCTTTCAGTACGCTGCAACATGTCGATCAGGTTCGACGAGTTGGCGTGTGCTTCGCTGCGAAGCGTCGCCGTAGTGTGGTCTAGATAAGATCGAAGATCATTAATCTGAGACTGAACGTCGCCGAGGTCGTTGGCCTCGGCTGGTGTTGGTCGGTTGCGGAGCTGGTCGTGGATTTCATCATGTAAAATCCTGACTGCTGAGACGCCTGTGTCGCGTACGAGCACAAGTTGTTGCTCCATCTGCGCGAGGTAGTTGCGCAGGTTCTCGACCATCGCCGTTCGTTCACCTGAGTGTGACACCTCACGATCAGCCTGGTACTGCAGTTCACCTATGATGCGTCGATCTTCGGCCATCCTGGAATCAATGATCCCTAAGGCGCCGTCAAGATCGTGGCGTATGGCTGCGGTATCATCGGCGGCGTTCGTCTGAACGCTCTGCAGTAGTCCAGAGTATTGCCTGGACACGAAGGTTTCAACCTGGTCTCTGAGCTCAGCTATTTCACCTGCGGCGGACGTTTCCGCCAGCTGGTCGTCTGAGATGGAGAGGTGGGGAGCGTCAGCTTCCCTGTGTCCCCTGTCGCGGGGAGTGCATGGCCTCTGAGAGGCAGTACGCGGGCTCGACCTACTCTCGCCGCATGGGCCTGGGGCTCCACGGCGGTTGCGCGCGGACGAGCTGCGACTCGGACCATGTGTGTGGCGTCTCATCCGATGATACCTTGGGGTGCTGCGTCTGCGGCTGCGCCGCCACTGGTCTACTGAGTTCCTCGAAGGTGGCTACGTGCTTCGCCACGGGGACGGTCGCAGGGCTTGGGGTACCAGCACCTGAGGTCCATCGGCGGTTAGCGCGAAAGCGCCCTGGAGTGTCGTGACCGGTGAGGCTTTCGCCTGACGCGGTTGGGATTGCTCCCGACGGGGAAGGGGATGGAGAATCGAAAGTAGGCGTGTGAAACTCCTTCCTTTCTGTTCCTACTCCTTCTCCTGTCCCCCCGCGGGCGGCGCTGCGGTGAAGCTCAGCAGCTAGTCGCGCCTCGGGTCCGTCGGAGCTGGGGGGGGTATCTGGAACACCAACACAGTCCGCATTAAGGCTCTCCAACTCGTCACCGAGCCGTCGCGCCGTTGGAGAGCTTGGACGCGAGGCCTCGATGGATCCCTTGCGGCGCATGCGCCGCAGGGGCTCCATCGAGACCGCGTGCGAGATCACAACGGGCGGTTCGGTGAAGGTGAGCTTTAAAGGGCTGATAACCTGTGTATGGGGTTGAAGTACAAGGGTACAGAACCCCTGATCCGTTGGTAGAGAGAAGGAGGGATAGATGGATGTCTTTCCCTCCTGCACGATCAAAGGTCTGATCGATCCGTCTCAATACCTGAGCCCAAACGGCCAGGCGCAGGAGAGGTAAGGATAAGGAGTAGATATGAGGGTATTACACGGGTTCTATTCACAGCCCAACGGCAGAAACGGCGGCGGCGGCGGCGGCTGCGGCAGCGGCAGCGGCGACACCGACGCCGACGCCGACGCGGACGCCGACGCCACCAGCGACGATACCAACGACGACGACGACGACGACGACGACGACGACGACGACGCCGACAACGCCGACGCCGAGACCGACGTCGACGCCGCCACCGACGCCGAGGCCGACTCCGACGACGACGCCGCCGCCGTCGACGACGACGAGAACGACCATGGCGACTGCGACAGCGACGGCGACGGCGGCGACGGCGGCGACGGCGACAGAAACGGCGACGGCGGCGGCGACGGCGACGGCGACGGCGACGGCGGCAGCGGCGGCACCGACGCCGACGCCGACGCCGACGCCGACGCCGACGCCGACTGCGACGGCGACGGCGACGGCGAAGGCGACTACGACGACCACGACCACGACGACGACGACGACAACGACAACGACGACGACGACGACGACGACGACGACGACGACGATGACTGCGGCGACGGCGACGGCGACGGCGACGGCGACGGCGACGGCGACGGCGATGGCGACGGCGACGGCGACGGCGATGGCAGCCACGCCCACGGCGACGGCGGCGGCGACGGCGGCCATGGCGACGGCGACGGCGAAAGCGACGGAGACAACGACGCCGACGGTGACGTGACGGTGACGGCGACGGCGACGGCGACGGCGACGGCGACAACGTGACGGCGACGGCGACGGCGACGGCCACGGCCACGGCGACGGCGACGGCGGCGGCGACGGCGACGCGACGGCGGCGACGGCGACGGCGACGGCGACGGCGACGGCGACGGCGACGGCGACGGCGACGACGACGACGACGACGACGACGACGACGACGACGACGACGACGACGACGACCACGACGACGACGGCGGCGGCGGCGGCGGCGGCGGCGGCAGCGGCGGCGGCGGCGGCGGCGGCGGCGGCTCGGCGGCGGACCCGCGGCAGAAGCGGCGGCGACGGCGGCAGCGGCGGCGGCAGCGGCGGCGGCAGCGGCGGCGGCACCAACGACACCGTCGCCGACGCAGACGCCGCCAGCGACGATAACAACGACGACGACGACGACGACGACGACGACGACGACGACGACGACGACGACGACGACGATGACGCCGACAACGCCGAGGCCGAGAACTACGCCGAAGGCGCCACCGACGCCGAGGCCGACTCCGACGGCGACGCCGCCGCCGTCGACGACGAGGCCGACGGCGATGGCGACGGCGGTGGCGACGCTGCGCTCGGGGCGGCGGCGATGACGACGACGGCGGCGCCGACGACGGCGGCGCCGACCGCAGCGGCTACGACGGCGAAGACGCGCGTCGGCCTGCGCGCAGGCTGTCTCCTCTGCGGCTCGGGGGGCGGCATGCCCCGGCGCCTGCTCAAAGGGCCCCGGCGCTGGCGGCCGTCGGCCGCCGTCGTCGTAGGGAGGGCATGAGATCCTGGGATCGCATGGTTCCGGGCCCACATATCGACTCGGCTCGAAAAAGGCTGCAGCAAGAAGGGGTCCAGGGCTGTTTCGCGCGATCGCTTCCGAGGGGAGGGAGGACGGGGGACGGAGGGTGTCCTGCCGACCTGCCTGCTCAGGGCCAGCCGCGGGGCCCGAGGAAGAGGCCCCTCCTGTGGGGACGTTCGGAGCGTCTCCACCGCCCTTTGGTGCACCCTGATGGCTCGGGAAACGGCCCTTGCGAACTCGCGCCAGGTTCTCGCGGCCTTGGCGAGCGGGCGCACAAGGCTTACAAAGGTGGCGGGCGCCAATGATCCTCTTCTTGCCACGGACTGATATCATCAAAATAGAAAAATCATCCCGGCAAAACAACCTAACAGCGATGTGTATAAGCATACGTGTCAGCCTGAGACTGCCTCAGCCTCGGCCTCATCCTGCCTCAGACTCAGCCTGCATCAGCCTCAGCCTCAGCCTGCCTCAGCCGCAGCTTGCCTCCGCCTCAGCCACAGCCTCCGCCTCAGCCTCAGCCTCAGCCTGCCTCAGCCACAGCCTCAGCCTCAGCCTGCCTCGGCCTCAGCCTCAGCCTCAGCCTCAGCCTGCCTCGGCCTCAGCCTCAGCCTCAGCCTGCCTCAGCCTCAGCGTCTCATCCCGGCCTCAGCCTCAGCCTGCCTCAGCCTCGGCCTCAGCCTCAGCCTGCTCTCAGCCTCAGCCTGCCTCAGCCGCAGCTTGCCTCCGCCTCAGCCACAGCCTCCGCCTCAGCCTCAGCCTCAGCCTGCCTCAGCCACAGCCTCAGCCTCAGCCTGCCTCGGCCTCAGCCTCAGCCTCAGCCTCAGCCTGCCTCGGCCTCAGCCTCAGCCTCAGCCTGCCTCAGCCTCAGCGTCAGCCTCTCAGCCTCAGCCTGCCTCGGCCTCAGTCTCAGCCTGCGTCAGCCTCAGCCTGCCTCAGTCTCCCTCAGCCTGCCTCGGCCTCAGCCTGCGTCAGCCTCACCTCAGTGGCCTGGGAATGGTGTTCTGGGAACAGGAAAAAATTATCCCGGCAAAGCAACCTAACAGCCATGTGTAGGACCTGGCCGGGGCAGCCGGCCGCCCTCCCCTCCTGCTCGTCCTCCTCCTCCTCCTCCTCCTGCTCGTCCTCGTGCTCCTCCTGCTCGTCCTCTTTCTCCTGCTCCTCCTCCTCCTCCTCCTCCTCCTCCTCCTCCTCCTCCTCCGTTCTTCCTCCTCCTCCTAATCCTCATCCTCCTCTCCTCCTCCTCCTTCCTCCTCCTCCTCCTCCTCCTCCTCCTACCTCCTCCTCCCTCCTCTCCTCCTCATTTTTCTCCTGCTCCTCCTCCTCCTCCTCCTCCGTCCCCTCCTCCTCCTCCTCCTCTTCCTCCTGCTCGTTCCCTCGTTCTCTGTCCTCCTCGTCCTTGCACGTCCTCCTCATCCTGGTGCTCTCCTCCTCCTCCCTCCCCCCCTCCCCTCCTCCTCCTCCTCCTCCTCCACCTGGAGTCCCTCGTTTGCCTTCTCACTGGTGCTCTCACTCCCTCCCCCCCCTCCTCCTCCATCGTCCTCCTCCTCCTCCTCCCTCGTCCTTCCACCTCCCGTCGTCCTCCTCCTCCTCCTCCCTCCTCCTCCTCCTCCTCCTCCACCTGGTAGTTCCTTCCCCCTCCTCCTCCTCCTCCTCCTCCTCTTCCTCCTGCTCGTCCTCGTTCTCGTCCTCCTCGTCTTGCTCGTCCTCCTCCACCTGGTGCTCTCTCCTCCTCCTCCTCCTCCTCCTCCTCCTCCTCCTCCTGGTGGTCCTCGTTCTCCTCCTCCTGGTACTCTCCCCCCCCCTCCTCCTCCTCCTCCTCGTCCTCGTCCTCCTCCTCCTCCTCCTCCTCCTCCTCCTCCTCCTCCTCCTCCTCCTCCTCCTCCTCCTCCTCCTCCTGGTACTCCTCCCCCTCCTCCTCCCCTCCTCCTCCTCCTCCTCCTCCTCTTCCTGGTCGTCCTCCTCCTCCTGGTCGTCCTCCTCCTCCTGCTCGTCCTCCTCCTCCTCCTGCTCGTCCTTCTTCTCCTGCTCCTCCTGCTCCTCGTCCTGCTCCTGCTCGTCCTCGTCCTCCTGGTCTTGCTCGTCCTCCTCCTCGTCGTGCTCTTGCCCCTGCTGAAAATGTGGCCCAGGAATGGGAGTTCTGGGAAGTCGAAGAGCACGAAGTTGCCTACAGTTGGCTACGGGCATTCAAAATGTGGCCCGGGAATGGAGTTCTGGGAACTCGAAGAGCACGAAGTGGCCTACAGTTGGCTCCGGGCATTCAAAATGTGGCCCGGGAATGGAGTTCTGGGAACTCGAAGAGCACGAAGTGGCCTACAGTTGGCTCCGGGCATTCAAAATGTGGCCCGGGAATGGAGTTCTGGGGACTCGAAGACCACGAAGTGGCCTACAGTTGGCTCCGGGCATTCAAAATGTGGCCCGGGAATGGAGTTCTGGGAAATCGAAGAGCACGAAGTGGCCTACAGTTGGCTCCGGGCATTCAGAATGTGGCCCGGGAATGGAGTTCTGGGAAGTCGAAGAGCACGAAGTGTGTGACTGTTGGCTTAAAATGAATTCTGCGGCACCCTGTCCGGCACCCGCCCAGACCCCCCTGTGGAGTGATCTGTGAGCTCTTTTGAAACCACTAGAAACCTATCAGTCTTCGCTGTTAGGTAAAAAACACGAAGTAACCTACAGGTGGCTCCGGGCATTCAAAATGTGGCCTGGGAATGGTGTTCTGGGAAAACGAAGAACACGAAGTGGCCTACAGCTGGCTCCGGGCATTCACAATGTGGCCTGGGAATGATGTTCTGGGAAGACGAAGAACACGAAATGGCCTACGGTTGGCTCCGGGTGTTCAAAATGTGGCCTGGGAACGGTGTTCTGGGAACACGAAGAACACGAAGTGGCCTACAGTTGGCTCCGAGCATTCAAAATGTAGCCTGGGAATGGTGTTCTTGGAATGGATTCCTAAGGATCCCTAAGAATTCCTAAGGATTCCTAAGGAGTCCTGCGGCTGACGGATTCGTCCGGTTCCTTGTCCGGATCCCGCCCAGGCCCCCCTGGGGCGTCAAGATGCTCTCTCTTTGGAGACCACTAGAAACCTATCAGCAAAAGCTGTTAGGTAACCAAAAAATACAGTGGAGGCCAGCCCACAAGAAGCCTTCCACAAGAAACCCAACCCTGAGACCCGAGGACGTCCATTGATTTTTGGTGAGGGCACGTCACGCTCTCCACAGCAAAACCATCGAAACCCAAGAAAGCCATGGCACCCTGGAGGCAAGCAGGGTGTTTTTGTTGCGTTCCTTGGCAGGGTGTAGCCAATTGTGCATCGCGTGCGAGCTGTCAACAGCTCGGCCCAAGGCCGTGGACCCACGAGGAAAACAAAGGCCCGGCCCACCGGAGCGACCACCCTCTGAAGAGCACGGCGGAGGTTCGGCACGCGGGCACAATCGGCCAGTTTTCTGCGCAAAGACACGGGCCACCGAGTGCTGGCAAGGCTACAGCTCACATTTTTTGCGCTGGCTAGGCAGAGTCACTGCGCTGGCGGAAGAGGCGTCGGTCGGGCGCACAGAACGCGAATTAGGCCACCGTGCAGGAGGAGGAGGAGGAGGAGGAGGAGGAGGCGCCCGGCGGCGGCGGGGAAAGAGGGAGAAGGCTCCAGCGCATGTGCAAACTTGGCCTTGACTTGGGACTGGCCCTGCGAGCTCGCCGCCGCAGCTGCGCCACGATGACGTCCCGTTCGTCGGCGCAAGGGGCCTACCCCACCAGAGCCCGCTCCTACGCCCACCCCGTCCCAACCCCAGCCAACTTATCAGCGCAGGTGTTGCCAGCAGCAGAGTACTGGCCCTCCTTGCTGACGGCATGGGCCAGTCATCAAGGTGGCTTGGGATCCAAGAAACCTGGACGTCGGGCGGACTGGACCCTCTTTGACGGGTGGCAGCTCAAACACAAAGAACGGAGGCAGGAGGGACAGAAAGCGGGAGAAAGGAGAACGGAGGGACGGAGGAAAGAAACGGAGGACGGAGGAATAAGGAGAGAGGAAGGAGGAAGGAGGAAGGAGGACGAGGACGAGGAGAGAAGGCTTCATCCTGCCACCTTCTTCCTCCGCCTCCTGTTCGTCGTTGTCGCCTGCGTCATCGTCGTCATCGTCGTATTCACGGAGCCCTGGGGGAGGACGAGAAGAGCGAGGAGGGCGATGCGAATGACGAGGGGGAACAGGGGGACGACGAAGAGAGGGACGAAGGACTCTCCCTTTATCCCCCTCCCCTGCCCCTGCCCTCCCCCTGCGTCCTCCTGCATCTGGCCCCTCCTTCTCTTCCTCCTCCTCCTCCTCCTCCTCCTCCTCCTCCTCCTCCTCCTCCTCCTCCTCCTCCGCCTCCTCCGCCTCCTCCTCGAGTGGCGAAACGCTCCAAGACCACAAACGACCTCCTCCTCCTTCTCCTCCTCCTCCTCCTTCTCCTCCTCCTCCTCCTCCTCCTCCTCCTCCTCCTCCTCCTCCTCACCCTGCCGCTGCTCCCTTCTCCTCATCCTCCCAATCCTCCTAAGACGACGACTGTGTCGGTGACGACGAGGACGAGGAAGGAGGGGGAGGAGGAGGAGGAGGAGGAGGAGGAGGAGGAGGAGGAGGAGGAGGAAGAGGAGGAGGAGGAGGAGGGCGACAACGACGACGACGACAACGACGGCGGCGGCGACGCCGCCGGCGGAAGCGCCTCGCGCTGGGGCGACCAGCCTGCCCAGGGAGCGCGTCGTCATCGTCGCCGCCGTCGCCGCCGCCGTCACCGTCGCGTAGGCGTCGGCGCCGCCGGCGGATCCACTCCAGGGGGAGGGAGCAGGGCGGGGGACAGAGGGAGAGGGGGAGGGGGGAGCAGGAGGGGGGGAGGGGGGAGGGGGAGGGGGGCGGGGAGGGGAGAGAGGGTTGAGGGGAAGGGGAAGGCGCAGGAGGTG